TCTTCTGTTACTCTTTTAACTGATCCTGCTTTTTTGGCAAAGAATCAGATTCCGGATAAGGGTGCAGAACCAGTCGTGATTCCTGTACTCCCTAGCGATTCTATTTCTGTGCTTTTATGTCCAGTAAGAATCCTTTCTATTTATCTGGATAGAACGAGTAGTTTACGTTCTGTTTCTAACTCAAGACTCTTTATTCCTATTAAAAAAGGAATCTCAGATCTTTCTGTTTAAACTATTTCTACTTGGATATGCAAATGCATATCTTAAGCTTATGATTCTTCTAAGGCAGAATTTTTGAATAGTTTTTAATGTTAAAGCTCATGATGTTAGGGGTATCTCTACATCCTGGGCTCTGTTTAACAGTGCATCTTTAGAAGAGGTACTGTCTGCAGGTTTCTGGAGAAATTAGAACTCTTTTATCTCTCATTACCTCTTATATATGGCTACTTTTGCCGAGAGTTTATACCAAACCTTCACCCTTATCTGAAACAATAGTGTAACATCACAACATAGAAAGACACACTATAAAATATCAATTGAAATGGCATAACTCAATCAAAAGACATATTAACACCACTGAACATACACTGAACAAATAAATTTGACCTATGATACAATGTTAATACAAAATAAACAAACTAAGGGAAGAATAATTAAAGTAACATGGTATACCGCTGTGAAATGTTAAACAATTTAAGAAAAACAATATGCTTGAACAAAAATATCAGCCATTTGCAATTACTTTAAACACAGGTAAATGAAAATAATTTTGTTGTTACGTATACGTGTACAGTTCAAATGGAGAAAGGAAATATTTTTACGAAATAAATAATTTTGATGCTCATAGTACGAAGAAGTGAAAATATATAGTAATACTAAAAACTTATCAAAGCTGGTATATAGACCAGATATAACCCTGAATAACATTAAATAACAAAAAAAAGCATTACAATTAGTATCAACAGGTCAAATAAACAAGAAAGTACGATTTGGTAGTACTCGCAGTTACTGACAGCTAGTTAAAAGCCAAAAACAATTAATAATAAAAAATCATGCATCAGAGACTAAGTATTTTAAAGGAGGCTCGAATTGTATGCAATGGAACGTCTTTTAATTTCCAATAGAACGTAGATAAATAGTTGAAAAGATTACTCAAATTCCATGTCAGTATTCTTTTGAATGTTTAACTATAAAAAAACGTATGTAACGATGATCATATATGACCGTTTCGTTTGGTGAGCTTTTAACAACTGTTAAAGTATAAATTAAAACTGGTCCTGAAGTCAACATACGTCCAAAAGGCCCGATCTGTTACACACCTGAAGTCAACATACACCAAAAGGCCCGATCTGTTACACGTCTGAAGTCAACATACACCAAAAGGCCCGATGTTTTACACGCCTGAAGTCAACATATGCTCAAAAGGCCCGATCTGTTACACACCTGAAGTCAACATACACCAAAGGCTTGATCTGTTATACACCTGAAGTCAACATACGCCCAAAAGGCCCGATCTGTTACACACCTGAAGTCAACATACACCAAAGGCTTGATCTGTTATACACCTGAAGTCAACATACACCAAAGGTTTGTTCTGTTATACACCTGAAGTCAACATATGCCCAAAAGACCCTATCTATTACACAGTGACCCAATATAATATTTAGATCAGTGTATATTTATATAAGAGACGAGTTTCATAATTATATATCCCTCGGTAATCATATCACACATTTATCTATTGAAATATCTAGTCATCAGTTGATAATAAACATAATTTGAAACGTGTAAAGATTTGTGTTAAATGGATAGATTCTGCAACGGGACACCTCTTTGGGTAATCAATATAATTCTAAACAATTCATTTAATTAAATATCATTTTAAATGAACTTAAGTTCATGTCACATATCATATAACTACCAATAGCATCACAAAAATATAATAGTTGCACACATAATGTAAAATACTCTCTGGTATAACATGTTTGATTTTATATTTCCAGTTCATATTCAGATGTTTAAAGGAACTCACTGAAATCAATCCTCAATTTTTTTTCAATTGATCAAATTTGTCAATTGCATGAAATACACATGAACTTACTCAGAATTGTTGATGATAGAATGACAGTGCAACCAATTTTTGAACCCTTTACATTTATCTGTATCAAATTTTGTTATGACTGTTTATTGCCTAACAATTAAATTGTTTATAGTTTTCATTAGGATTACATCATTTTGATTGGCAGACACCAATCGCTTGGTGTTTTAAATTAAAGTTATGGTTCATATTCCAATAAAATATGACAACGTTGCAGAAATGTTTAAGCAAAACAAAGGAAACACTTGACTCCGCTCGTAATTTCCTGGTTTCAGATTATAATGTAATTAAATGTTTTAGAAAGTTTTATAGGGTTGTAAAAGCATTGACCGTACGCATATTTGTATACGCCCGTTTACGGGACGTATTATGGTATGCCATTCTCCGTCTGTCCGTCGTCAACATGTCGGACATTAACTCAAAAATGCTTTAACCAATTTGCATAAAACTTTGGTGAATTGTTGATATCTATTGACTTGAGCTCCCTTTCGTTTTTTATAAAATTTAGGTTTTACGTTTCCTAGTTATGGGGTTTTATTCATTAAAAAAAGGGGGATTTTTCAGTTTTCGGACAATAAGTCAAGAATGCTTTCACCAACTTGCAAGAAATTGTGGTGAATTGTTTATATCTATTGACATGAGCTCCCTTTCGATTTTTATAAATCTTAGATTTTACGTTTCCGAGTTACAGGGTTTTATTCATAAAAAAGGGGGGATTTTCCAGTTTTCGTACAAAAACTCAATAATGCTTTCAGCAATTCTTATGAAACCTTAGTGAATTGTTTGTATGTATTGATGTAAGCTCCCTTAAGAATTTTATTAATTTTACATTTTAAATTTGATCTGTTATGGGGTTATGGGGTTTTATTCTTTAAAAAAAGGGGTGATTTTCGAGTTTTCGAACAATAACTAAAAAATGCTGTCACCAATTCTCATGAAACTTTGGTGAACTGTTTATATCTATTGATGTAAGCTTCCTTTTTATTTTCATAAATTTCTAATATGACATTGAGAATTAATTGAACTTTATTTGTTTATAGTCTGACAACAGATTTACTAAGTATTGCACAACAGCAAGAAATCTTTAATTGAATAAAAATTCAATTCATATAACCAATTTCAAGTTCTTTGACTACATTTATTCAGAAACCTATAATATGTCAAATATTTAATTACAATCCAAATTCAGACCTGAATCAAGCTTGAATACTGTGTCCATTTTTGCCTCAACTGTTCAGGGTTGGACCTCTGCGGGCGTATCTAGCTGCGCTCAGCAAAGCAGTTTATTAACATATACTATACAACTACAGCAACAACAACAACAATTTTTATTTGTCAATCGAGACGCCCCGAGGAGCAGTACAATTACAGATTAAATTAAAGTGTACAAATAATTGTGGTGATTTTTTTTCATTGAACTATTTGAAATTACAATACATGACAATAAAACTAAAACTATGTATGAGAATGGAGACAACAAACACAGTATACTCCCAAAGATAATGAGTGAGTGAACACAATCAGTACCGCATACTAGAACACACCCGCGACATCGCCGGTCCGTGACTGAATTAAAGTATTTAATCATGTATAAGCCTTATTTTTAGCCTGGACTTAAAGTATTGCTATTGTCATCTGACAAAGTCATGCTGATTATAAGATGCACAGTTTTCTCTGATTTCAAAATCTTTCTGCTTGAACCCGTTGATCTGGAACTTATTAATTATTGATAATATTAATTATTTGGAAAACAAAGGGGCCTGGAATTGTGTAATTTTCAATCAACACCATTGTCCTATACAAGTTATATATAAAGTTGAATCCTTGATTCGCCGTTTTTACGTCATGCCGGCTAACAAATTGGAAATTGTACCTACGCTTTATTTTAAGTCATCTTATAAAGTTACGCTGAATAAAATACTACAACAGGAAACAATGTGACAATGATTGAATTTAGTAGTGTCAACCCTGTATAATGACTCGTGTATATAGCAAATCCCAAATACACCGTTTGGTGGTGCATCTGACAGATACGGCATACAGATAAGGTAATACACATGTATAGATTTCGCGGGCAGTACGTCGACTGAGCATGCACGAAAGCATATAAGGCACTGATCGATAACGGTCTCCGAATTTGGATATTTTTTCAAAAATTTGCTTTTTCTGTGGAAAAAAGATTGTTTCAAAGACAAATTTATATAGTAAAAAACACTACATTTATACGTCATATCACAAATATTTCCGACTTTGTAAGTTTCAGAGGAGTTGCGGCTCAATGAAATCGGTCTCTTCCTTTAGTAGTATAGATGCCTTCGGTAAACGCTTTTGCATCTCCAAAAAACTTTTAAAAGAGCGTTAAATTCATAAAACACAATAAATGCAAATTTTTGTAAATATGTTAAATTAAAGTTTTGTCTTTGTGCTGTTGAAGTAGAATTGACAAAGAGTTCTTTTTCATAAATATAACAAATAACAACTGCGGCTTTTCGTACACTCAAATGGTGACCAACACAACCACTTGACTAAGATTTCTTAAATTTTTTAATACCATGTTATCGCATAATAAATTGTTGTTCAAAGTACTTCATCCGATGAATGTCATCGCCTTATGTTATTGAAGTCGTAAACAAAGTGTCGGTTTTCTCAAACACTTTAACACCGTCGTCCGTTACTAAGCTTTCTCGGTCAAACTTGCAGCCACAATACCTAAATAAGAGAATTTTCAAAGCAATGTATCGTCTACGAAGACGATACGAAGCGAACATACATTCCGTCAGTGCATTCAACATTTTGGTTAACGATGGTTAAATTGTTTCAAGCCATCAACAATTTTGCCACACTTTAATGGAATTTTATGAAATTAGGACAGAAGGTTCGTCATGATCAAGAGAAAATATCAATGAAGAGAAAGCACCCTGTACGTTTTTTCATTCGTGTTCCTGTATTTATGGACAATGGACATGTTTTGGCAGTCAACATTACACTTGTACACTAAAAGCAACAGTCGCATAGGTGAAATCCTTTTCGAATTATTCGGAGTTGTCGCAACATTTTTACAATCTTTTCTGTTTGACTTATTTGTAGTTTCTAAAACACTACGGTTCTATTATCTAATATACATGTAATGACAAGTCTGATTTCATTCGAGTTGTTTTTTTGGGTGTGTGAAATAAAAAAAAATGTAACATATTATCGCTAGAAGAATCTTCTGACTAGTTCAATTCAAAATAAATTTAAACTCAATGTTGTATTTATCTATTTTCCGAATTTCAATGGAAACCAAACTAATTTTTTCTCTTCCCATCTGAAACAATTTTTTTGTCCAGAAATTTAGAATCAAACTTTTATTTAATTATTTTAAAAATAAAGTGTTTGATTCTAAAATTTCTTGAAATTTTTTTCAGGAACCCTTAATAACATTTTAAAGGGTAATGAATTTAAATTGTTATAATAATGTATGCTACTGTTATTTGTAGGATTCAAATTTGACATGGGATGGTAATTGGCCAGAATTCACGGAATGTTTTCAGGACACCATTCTGGTGTGGATTACCTCAGGGTGGTTATGGATCACGGCACCATTTTACGTTATATATTTAGCAAATCTTTCCCCTACAAGTTGTCAGTGGACATTGAAGACACACTCATCACTGGTAAGATAAATGATTTGTATGCTTCGCATACGATAGAAAGAGAACATACTGGTCTTTGGTCTATTCGTCCGTGCGTCCGTCTGTTCAATCAAGTTAAATGTTTTGGTTAAAATAGTTTATCATAAAGTTGTGGTAACATCAACTTGAAACTTGGTACAAATGTTTATTTTGATGAAAACTGCTATAATCGCATTCCAAATTGCTGTTTTGGTCTTGTTTTTAAGGTTGATGGAAGACGGAAACACCAGTACCATATCAGGTTAAAATTTGGAGTTTAGGTATAATTTAAACTGAGGATTTGATCACATTAAATTGAGTATAGTTTACATTGAGGCTTTGATCCCATCAACTTGAGTATCGTTTACATTGAGGCTTTGATCACATCAACTTGAGTATAGTTTACATTGAGGCTTTGGTCATATCAACTTGAATATAGTTTACATTGAGGCTTTGATCACATCAACTTGAGTATAGTTTACAATGAGGCTTTGATCACATCAACTTGAGTATAGTTTACATTGAGGCTTTGGTCACATCAACTTGAGTATAGTTTACATTGAGGCTTTGATCACATCAACTTGAGTATAGTTTACATTGAGGCTTTGGTCATATCAACTTGAATATAGTTTACATTGAGGCTTTGATCACATCAACTTGAGTATAGTTTACAATGAGGCTTTGATCACATCAACTTGAGTATAGTTTACATTGAGGCTTTGATCACATCAACTTGAGTATAGTTTACATTGAGGCTTTGGTCATATCAACTTGAATTTAGTTTACATTGAGGCTTTGATCACATCAACTTGAGTATAGTTTACAATGAGGCTTTGATTACACCAACTTGAGTATAGTTTACATTGAGGCTTTGATTACACCAACTGGAGTATAGTTTACATTGAGGCTTTGATCACTTCAACTGGAGTATAGTTTACATTGAGGCTTTGATCACATCAACTTGAGTATGAATTACATTGAGGCTTTGATCACACCAACTGGAGTTTAGTTTACATTGAGGCTTTGATCACATCAACTTGAGTATAGTTTACATTGAGGCTTTGATCACATCAACTTGAGTATAGTTTACATTGAGGCTTTGATCGCATCAACTTGAGTATAGTTTACATTGAGGCTTATATCACATCAACTTGAGTATAGTTTACATTGAGGCTTTGGTCACATCAACTTGAGTATAGTTTACATTGAGGCTTTGATCACATCAACTTGAGTATAGTTTACATTGAGGCTTTGATCACATCAACTTGAGTATAGTTTACATTGAGGCTTTGATCACATCAACTTGAGTATAGTTTAAATTGAGGCTTTGATCACATCAACTTGAGTATAGTTTACATTGAGGCTTTGATTACACCAACTTGAGTATAGTTTACATTGAGGCTTTGATCGCATCAACTTGAGTATAGTTTACATTGAGGCTTTGATCACATCAACTTGAGTATAGTTCACATTGAGGCTTTGATCACATCAACTTGAGTATCGTTTACATTGAGGCTTTGATCACATCAACTTGAGTATAGTTTACATTGAGGCTTTGATCACATCAACTTGAATATAGTTTACATTGAGGCTTTGATCGCATCAACTTGAGTATAGTTTACATTGAGGCTTTGTCCACATCAACTTGAGTATAGTTTACATTGAGGCTTTGATTACACCAACTTGAGTATAGTTTACATTGAGGCTTTGATTACACCAACTGGAGTATAGTTTACATTGAGGCTTTGATCACTTCAACTGGAGTATAGTTTACATTGAGGCTTTGATCACATCAACTTGAGTATGAATTACATTGAGGCTTTGATCACACCAACTGGAGTTTAGTTTACATTGAGGCTTTGATCACATCAATTTGAAACTTGATAAACATGCTCGTTGTGATGTGAACTTTAAGATTATATGTCAATGGTTTAACAGAAATATGTTCATCGGACACTACACCCTGCTCGCAATATCAAATGTCCATGTTCAGTGAATCACAAAATCTGGGTCAAAACCTAATTTGGGGCATTTATTGTAAAAGGTTCACATCATACAAAGACAGGTGTACTTAGTTTCAAGTTGATGTGACCATGACATGTAAACTACTTTTATTTACCAAACACTTTACCCTGAGAAAGTACTGATTTCAAATGATCACATGTCCATGTATGTTGGACATTTTCCTGTTCAGTGAACTGTTAAATCAGAGTCAAACTGTAATTTGGTGTCACCTTTCCAGAAGTTTAAAGCTGTTTAAGTTTCTTTAATTGTCAATGAACCATTAACATTTCTTATAAAAAGTTGTTGAATGCCGACATGTACTTTTTATAGACAAGATTACAAAAGCACATTTAGACATTTTTAGGATTCTGAAAAAAAAACCCAATTTATTTTCCTACTTACATCAAACATTCTACTTTTTGTAAAATATAATTTTAATCAGTCTTAATATCGTTTCCTATATCCACTGGAGAACTCTACTCTGGATTCTGGATCCACTACTACGATTTGCAAAATACAAGATATACCTGCAAACGATCAAAACATCATTAACAGTATTTGGTTCATACACATTTCATTGTATCATCGGACAACAAAGCAATATATCACAGTATATCTTGTTTCCATCTCAGTAAAAAACCTATTGCTCAGCACATATTGATTTTTGAATATATTATCAACTATAGATTAAAAACTAAGTCAACATTTTCTCATGATACTGTTTTTTTTATTAATGGTTTATATTTTAATTTTTTAAAGCGTGATCGTTAACAATTAACTGTACAAGTCAAACTTTTCGTCAATCACTTAATATTTAATTTTATAGCAAAATGAAAATGGACATTTTCACAATAGCACTTTTCTTTTCCATTTCAAACACAATTTGAAGAACATTTTAACATAGGAACGATATAACTTAGATATATGGATAAATCAGTTTTATCTTAAGAGCAAACTTTCCCTTTCAGGTGCTAACAGTGTTGTTATTAGCATTGAAATCAATGTGTGTTGTCTTTGCTGTGAGTAAATTAACAAACGATTGGATGAAAGCTTCAGTATTTGCACCTATTCTCGAAGGAATTAATCTCGTAAGTTAATTTTCTTTTAAAAATGTTTCAAGATTTAACAGCTTATTGTATATACTATTGGTTACGTGTTTGCACTCTTTGCTGAAAACAAATTTGTTTAAAACTCTAAAGAGTACAAAAAATATAAACAACAGTTTATGGTCTCTATTACAAATTAAAGTGAACGAATGCTGAAACGAAATAGTAGCACGCCAATGATGAAATGTTGGGTTTTTTTTGCACTTGCAGATTCTGATAATGATCTATATAGCTGTGGAAAGACAGAAAGGTTTGGTAACATCCGGGATACTATTTATTTACTGGACTCTTAGTTTACTATCCAGCATCATTCCATTTTACTCAAAGATTATCAAAAAGGTATTATTCAAATATACGGGTGAGTAAATTTAAAGTTGAGAGTTTGTTCAACTAAGCATGTCCAAAGACTATCAAATTTATGTATTTTGTTTTACCACGAAACAAGTTAATAGTTATATACAAGTGTATCTACATTTTATTGTACATAATACCACTGGGGTAAAACGGATGTGCTTAACATAAGCTACCAGCATCTCAACATGAAATTTCTGACAAATTTAATTGTTTGTTTAATGTTCATGATTCCAAGAATTACTATGCAGAATGTTCTAGATAGCGAAAAAAACGTGAATATGCTATAATTCCTTAATGTTCCTAGTCCTTTTACAGAGTTTATATACAATAATGTAGTGCCAAAACAATGACTACAACACTGTCTATATTACCCTCTACCTTGGGGACTAACAATCTACCAGCAGTGGTATGTATCAATTGGAAGTAAATGAAACAGTCTGTGTCGGAGTGCTTGTTCTATACAGTTTCTGTATATCTTATTGCTAAAAACTTCCCAGAAAGTTTCAAGAACAGCAATAAAAGCATATATGAAACCACATTCAAACATGTTTGGTCTGTCTCTGTATGAGTATAAAATATAATGTGTCATGATTGCCAAAAAGCTCTCAATAGCACATATTGATGAATGTTCATCTCTTCGCACTTAAAAAACTGTGCACCAACTCCTTAGAATGGTCCATATGTAACTTGCTGTAAGGCATACATTTGATCATACTCACTTCCCTTATATTTGTAATTCTATGGCAGTTCACAGATTCTCCAGGCCAACCGAGATTTCAGGCTTTGACCATTTAGTTCACAGATTCTCCAGGCCAACCGAGATTTCAGGCTTTGACCATTTAGTTCACAGATTCTCCAGGTCAATCGAGATTTCAGGCTTTGGCGATTTGATGTATTAATACATCATTCTCATCCTGATTATGCATGAAATATTTTTTACTAGATAAAGTAACAAATGTTAAAAATACGCGTATCTTTGCCAAGTTTTCTGACCTGGTTTTTTCATAAAATGGTTACATCTTGGTCAAAAAATCTATTTGTTCTCTAATGGAATTATACCTAATGTGCACAATTTTCATGACCTTTTCTGTCTTTGGATGGGATCATTATTAAAAGGAAGCAGTTTCAAGGTCTAATTTCCATCTTGAGATGCTGGTAAATTATTTCCGCACACCCGCTCCCCCCTAATTGATAATACGTATACGTCTACCGACTCCATTGTTACAGAGGTTACGTTTTGTTTTTAACTTGTCACTTCGTACATATTTTTTTTTATATATGAAGACACCTAAAATATTGATTATAAAGATTATTCCATGAAAATGAATATGCGGTAAAATATTGTGATTATCTTTCAGAAATTATCCTTCAACCTAGTATGCTAGTTACTATTCAGATACTTTTATGTTTAAAAAATGTCATTTATCCTGGTGTGCATAAACTGTTAATATTCAGAACGTTTTATGTCTAAAACGTTTTTCTTAATACCTTAGAGATGGTTATAATAATACTTGATTTCCAATCAATGTTTTATATACATATATGTAAATGTTAACTTCAGGATTTTCGCTATTACGGTTATGTTCTTATTGAGCCGTACAAGATACGGGACGAATTGCAAAAAAGAACCACTTGTATGTTGGTGAAGACCGTATGATGATAACTAGTTATCTAATGTTTTTGTGTCGATAAGTTGCCGTCTCATTGGTGTATACATTTATATTTTAAAATTCCTTTCAATATATATGCATCTCTATATTTTCATTTTCATTTAAGGTAAAATTATTTGTGTTTTTGCTATTTATATGTTATATATATGTAACACTCAGAAACGTGTCCATCCCCCCAAACGTGTCCGATTCCCCCAAACGTGTCCATATGACGTCGCTGAACTGCAAAACATGTCTAGTTGCTAAAGGGCGCCAAAACGTGTTCTGTTTATAAGCGCCCAGTTGTGTCCATTTAATTAAAAAAAAGGCCAAACGTGTCCGGTTTATATGAAACCGTAAAGTCTCACTTTTAAAAGCACACAAACCTCTTTTGCATTAAGCAGGTCGTACAATACCCTCATACATTATATAGCCATTTAGGTATCATCGAAGAATATTAGTACAATAGAATCCACTTAGTAAACAATTATTAAAACTGTACAAAACTAATAAATTGCAATGTTTATGTTTTTTTTAAATACGCATGACATATTTGCCACTGGACATTAAGCAATCAACATTCAATAGTTCATTAGGTGTTGCAAATTTAGCTTTCATACTTAATAAAAAATAACCGGCGTTGAACAAATTAATGCTAATAAGTTTCCACTTTATTAACAGTGAAGCACCGTGAAAATTTACAAGATAAAATATATTAAATTTTTATTTGTGAAATACCTCTATCTGAACTTTATATAAAACATTATTAAAACCGCTGCAAGTAAAAATAACTTTTTATTGTGGGATTCTTTTTTAACCTGGTGTCTATTTTTTGAAAGCAGAAGTCACTGTGCACAGTGAAGCATGTCTTGAACATTTGTCTATACGGCTTACTAAACTTTCATCCAGATTTCTTTGGGTAGCTACTTTGATTTTTTAAGAATTCAACCGAACCCGACGTCTTTTATCGTATCCCACGCCATATAATTGCCGTAAACGTTTTTGACTTCAAAGAGTTATATTGGCGCTAAAAGTTTTGAGACGTTGTGGCGTTTTCATCTGGACACGTTTTGGCGAATAACAATTATCGGACACGTTTGGGGATGTGAAATCGGACACGTTTGGGCGATTTATGATTTGAAGGACACGTTTGGGCGGAATAGACACGTTTGGGGGTATCGGACACGTTTGGGGGGATGGACACGTTTGGGAGTGTTACATATATACAAGTCAAAACTGTTTTTTTAAACTTATTTTTTCAGGAATATGAAACAGAAATATTTCAATTTGTTATTTTTTGTTTATCCTTTACTTTTATCGTTATTCAATGGATTTTGAATAGCATAGCCGAAACCTATCAACAACCAGAGGTAAGACAGTATTAAGTATATGATACAGTGTGAATATAGTCCTGTTATTTACCCTATACTTGCTGGAAATCGAAATCACCGCTTATCTAGTATATAAACTTTGAAAATTAAAAATAAATAAATAAATAAAAATCGTTTAGGGCAAAAGTACATAAAGAGGTTAAAAGGATAATAAGGTATAAATGACCCTACTCCGTGTCCCCCTAAAAAAATGCAACAAGGAAAAAAAAAAAAAAAATACACCAACAAAATAAGACATAAACTGAAAACGACAAAAATGAAAAGGAACCAAGAAGAAAAGAAGAGAGGTACAAATAACCAAAAACATAGACAAAATAGAACAAAACAAAACAGAATAGAGAAGAAATGAAGACAACGATTAGTTTCTTCATGTCATCCTCTTTGGTCCCCTTCAAACAAAAACAAAAAACCCAAACGAATTAAAGAGCCAAATAACAAGACAGAAATATCTATTTGAAATTATACTTTGTTAATTTATTTAACTTTGAAATTATTTCTACATACTATTTCAACTGTATCAACTTCGTCAGATATTTTTTGTAGGACTTGAACCCAGAACAGAAGTCTTCGTTTCTGTCCAGAATAACATTTAGCTGGATGACAAGGTATAAACAGTATGCTAATACAACGCGTTTGAAAGTGCCATTGACAATTCATTATCTTATTACAGAGAAGCATAACTAGACCTTTTTCACTCTTGTAGTTCTCTTAACCACATGTTCTACAATAAGTGTGAATGAGTTTCTATTATAAATGATTTACCCTCTTAAAATCTAACTCGATAATATAGAAATAAGGAGATAGGGTATACGTTCCAATGAGCCAATCACTATATCCATAAAAAATCTTTAACAAATATCATAAAAACCTATAATTATGTTAAACATATAAGTGCTTTTAGAATCAATTGCAATTATTTGGTGTTATTTAGTATTTGATTTATATATTTGATATGTGTTTTACTGTAGTTTTCTTTAAATATTGCGATTTTTGCCAGATTTTTGCGTTTGATGATTTAATATTTCAATAGCTCATGTCCATCACTATTCAAGCTACGAACCAATCACACTACAAGAAGTCAATATATACAGAAAAGCGATTTGTTTCATGAAAATAAATATTGTAAATACTTTTTGTTTTAGATTGATGATGCAAGGCTACAAGAAACCTTTAACAGAAGATTCTGTGTTCGGTTTAAAGCAAAGAGACACAAGTCAAGTAGCCTACCGTAGATTCTATAACAACTGGGTCACTGAATGTGCTTCAGCAAGGTTAAGTCGATTCACAATACAAATTAAACCATGTCAAGTTCACGACCATCATTGGTTGCAAGAAAAACAATATGATTAAAATTAAATCTCCACACTCGCGTTCGCTCATTTTTTGTTTGTTTGGTCGCTGTGTAGCAGCATGAAAAAAAATAAACGAGTGCGAAGATTTGATTTTAATTAGATTAATAGGGAAAAAATCAGTCAATCTTATATAAACATTGTGAATTTTAGATCGGTCTATTAATGAGTAAAACACACTTTTGAAAAACTTATTTTGATTAAATAAATTTTTCTGTGATAAACGAGTTTGATAACGAATCTAAGATTAAAGACTTCAAATGTTGAAAATGAGTACTAAACAAAATTATAAAATTATCTACTGTAAAATTATATTTCAGACACGAATATGAAACAGCAAATCACCAGTACCATTTACAAGAAGCAGAAAGTGAGACCACATATTTATTAATAAAGTCTCCTCCAAAAAACATAAAATCTCAGCAACACCAGACCAAACCATCCCTGATTAAAGTTCTCTGTCGGACGTTCGCAGTACAATTACTTATTGCCAATATTTGGAAGATTGCATATGATGTAACGCTGTTTATCTCACCATTTCTTTTAAAGTAAGTAAATAAACTCATCATAGATACCAGGATAAGTTAAAACGGCCAAATAAAGTACGAAGTTGAAGAGCACTGAGGACTCAAAATTCCGCAAGGTTTTGCCAAATACAGCTAAGGTAATCTATTCCTAGGATAGAAAATCATGTATAGTGTTTGAAATACATGTATGTTTCATGTTCAGTCGTACAGCGGTGTTTTTTTTTTATATTGCTTTACATTAACAAACAACAAAAAGAAATACTAGAATGTATTAAGTAGTCTAGTAAACTTACTGTCCGTTTATTCACTATTCATTTAGTAAAACTTACTTGGCACCGAGTAAATGTTATTCGATAAACACAGTACATTACAGTCTTTTAGCCAGATTATCCTTGATACTTCTAGTAAACTCTATCAGTATATAGTTTTAAGCCTTTATTATATCATTTTATTTATAAAAGAAATTACAGCAGTTTCTGTATGCTTAGTCTATTTCTTTATCCGTAAACAACGGATTTATCTCTTTTCATGGGGAAAAAACTAATAGGAATACGAAGGGTATCCTTAAATTACATATTTTTTTATAAACAAATGTTGATTTGACCCGCTTGTTTGTACGTTTAAATTTTTCTATGAATTGTTAATCATAAAAAACGGACTAGAAAACATTTGTTTTTCACCGAATAATATCTTTTTTAGAATGTTAATTGACTATACTGCAGCATCTAAGCATCCAGAAATATCCAACTTTACTCAGGAATGGAAGGGCTACTCTCTAGTTGCTGCATTTTTTGTTACAATTCTGATCCAGTCTTTAATGTTTCATCAACAGTCTTTCTGGAGCATGACTTTGGGAATGAGGGTCAGATCAGCTTTGATGTCAGCTGTGTATCAAAAAGTATGTACTTGAGAGTGAATATGTACCTACTGTGACTTAAAGATGAAGAACAGAAATACAAGCGCTGTTCCTTTGCTTTTGTTTGTTTTTTCCTGTGCATGTACTGATTTTGTGTCATGGATGGATACCCCATTTCCTTTGTTTTTCTATTACTATACGGTATGGGTTTTTCTCATTGTTGAAGGCCGTACGGTGACCTACAGTTGCTTTTATCTTTGTCAGTTGAACTCTTGTGGATAGTTGTCTCATTGGCAATCATACCACATCTCCATATATTTTATATTAATTCATCGAAAACGTATTGTCTGATAACAAAAATTATATCATGTTTAAAAATGCTATTGTATTACTTCTCAAATTAAACAAACACTGACTTATATTTTATCTTATTCAGGCACTAAGACTGACGAGCGAGGCAAGACAGAACTCTACTGTAGGAGAAATAGTCAACCTAATGTCTATTGATGCACAAAATATACAGGACTTTATAAGTTATTTTTGGGTGTTATGGTCATCTCCACTACAAAGCTGTTTTAGCCTTTATTTCTTGTATGACACTATGGGTCATTCCATGTGGTCAGGAGTTGGGGTATTAATTGTACTTATTCCATTAAATGGTTTCGTCATTTCTAAAATTCATAAGCTACAGGCACAACAGATGAAGCAAAAAGATGAGAGGATAAAATTACTAAGTGAAGTTTTAAATGGAATAAAGGTATGTTCATTTTTTGTTGTTGAGACATTTTAATGGGATAATTCGTGATAAAATCGAAGATTTTCTAGTTACATTTTTTTGTGACAAAACGTTTATGTATTTGTTTTTTGCGTAATATTCAGTGCTACAAATACACTCAGAACAAAATAAAAGTTTTTCATTAAATCATTTAAATAGGTCTCATATTTGATAAACTGCGAACGACCTTGGAATATGTCAACAATAAAGGGCTTATTTAGTATTATAACAATTATGACAATGAGGGTCGGTTGAAAACAAAACTTTACGACAAAAGAGATGATTTCAGCTTCCCAATTGTGAACTTTCCATTTCTATGTAGCAACATTCCAGCAGCGCCTGCATACGGAGTATATATCTCCCAATTGATACGATATTCCGGGGCTTGTGTTTCCTATCATGATTTCCTTGATAGAGGATTGCTGCTCACGTGGAAGCTATTAAACCATGAGTTCCAAATGGTGAAGTTGAAGTCATCCCTTCGTAAATTTTACGGACGCCAACGGAGTTGGTTGACCGTTATGGAATAACCGTTTCACAGATGATATCGGATATGTTCCTTATGTCGTAACTACAATACCCTCCCTTTTCACGAATGTGACTTACCGAATTAGACTATTTACCGGATTTGTAATAACATAAGCAACACGACGGGTGCCACATGTAGAGCAGGATCTGCTTATCCTTCCGGAGCACCTGAGATCACCCCAAGTTTTTGGTGGGGTTCGTGTTGCTTAGTCTTTGGTTTTCTATGTTGTGTCATCGGTACTATTGTTTGTCTGTTTGTCTTTTTATTTTTCGGCCATGGCGTTGTCAGTTTGTTTTCGATCTATGAGTTTGACTGTCCCTCTGGTATCTTTCGTCCCTCTTTTAGTAACGTTTGAATTAACAGATTGCGATTGTTGCACTTTGCCATTGCATGTGTTTGGATGAGCTGTCAAATGTCAGATTGAGATTCATGTAAACACTCGAGACCAAAATGTACCACAAAGAAGCATTAACAAAACAACCAAAATCGTTTAACTTTTGCTATGTGGAGTGCATACCATATAAACACATTATACCGATTTCAGTGAGCGTGATATATAAATGAATTATACCGATTTCAGTGAGCGTGATATATAAACGCAGTATGCCGATTTTAATGAGCGTAAAATATAAATGTTTTATGCCGATTCAAATGCGCATGACATATAAACGTATGATACCGGATTCAGATACAAGTAAATTATACCGATTTCAGTGCGCATAATATATGAACACATTATGTCGCTTTCAGTAAGCGACACATATTTATGTTACATGTACATTTGTAAAAGTATATGCAGATTCCTGTGCGCATGCCACATGTTTCAGGAATAGGCCTAATAATTTTCATTAAATACAATTTAAATTTCAGATTTTAAAAATGTATACCTGGGAAATGGCATTCAGAGATAAAATATTAATAATTAGGAACATGGAACTAAAGATACTTTTTAAAGCAGCTATTTATAGAATAGTTATTATTTTCTCCAGAGCCGTTGCACCATATTTTGTAAGTAACAAAATTCATTCAAAAATCCTTGCAATGTTCATTTATCTTAAGAGAGTCAACTAACAAATTAGAAGATGGTTATTTCTTGTTATGGTACTAAAATTGTAAATGATAAGTATCTCGACTTTTTTTAACGTTAAATGAACTTTTTTAATTCACTTTATATTTTACATCGAAAATAATATTATTTCCATTTATTAAATCGTCAATATTTTAAACAGGTATCACTGGCAACATTTGCTACCTATATATTTATGTCATCTGATCATTACCTAGATGCCAAGAAAGCCTTCGTTGCCATTTCTTTGTTCAACATACTGAGAGTTGCTATCAGTTTTGCTCCGATGGCAATCAATAAAACTATCAAGGTAAGAGTTTTAGATATATGAAATATATGTTCGCTTAATTTTTGTTTGTCTCTCTAATTGATATAAATCAAAGGAGATGTGGTGTATGTGTCAATATACAAGATGTTTTAATTAGTTTAATCCTGCCCAAGTCTAAAAAATCGTCTGATGTAATTTCAAGAAAGTAGGTTCCATGTATGTATCCGATAGTATAATCCCCTAACCAGCTGGTAAAGTTGAGTTGTGAATGAGTTGAATATTGATTTTGCAAAATAAAAACACAAAATGGAAAAAAAAAAATAGAAATAAAATGAATAGTACTAGTATCTCTGAATATTTTCGTAAATCAAATAATTATACCCTTTCAGAGCAATGAAAAATATATTTCATCTCAAATGTTAAAACAGCCATTTCTGTTTCAGGCGAGTGTTTCTTTCCGTCGATTGAATAAATATCTGAACAGCAAAGACCTTAATCCAACTAACGTTGTGTACAATACATCAAAAGGTAAAAATAGAATGGTTTTCTCTATGGCAATCAACTTTTATATGCAATTAACTCTCTTTCAAAAAAATTCAAAGAATCTATCGACCAATTTCTATTGTCGAAGTTACTAAAAATAATAATTAACGAATCATGACTGTAGATTTTAATTCTCAAATCTCTTTTTTTCTTTGATGGACAGTTGTCTAAATAAGTATTTAATTGAATCATATTAAGCCTTCTTTTCTCTATATATCCAACGAATTGTCATTTTTTTATGTGGATAATTCAAAAGCAACGATCGCTTTTATTTATACAATTTTATTTTTATTCAGATGATGCAATAGTAATTGAAGATGGAACATTCTCTTGGGATCCAGATGGCGGGAAATGCTTCAGAAAGTATGTTTGGTGGCTATATACGTATAAATGTCTATGCCATCATGTGTAATATATTCCAAGAATTGACATCTACAAAATACAAGTTTTTGTGATCTCTATCATTTAGTAGGATGTCCAATGTCCAAAAAGTCCTCTAGTTAACGAGTTTTAAGTTAACGGATAACACACGGCTGATTGTTTTGCACATTATAGGAAAATCATTATATTTTACAATCATGATTGTCGTCGTAAGTTCCCGTGGTCACGATTTTCTAAATTTCGTGTTTTACAGGGTACCACCAGATACCGTATTGTACGGGGAATCTTTAACATGAAAAATAAAATTATTGCGTTCTTTGTTGGTAGTTAAAACAGTACCTATAATATAGTTTATATATTAAATATATCATATAACGAAATCGGAAAGTATTTAAGTGATTTTGATATAAGTATTTCAGCATTTCAGTAAGAGTAAAATTTTACCCGAAATTTACCCTATTTTCATCGAAAGCAAAATTATTACATGTATCATCACAATATTTTTTACTCTGATTTAAGCAATAAGACACAGTGCATGTGTGTGCCAAATTGCATGCGTGAAATAAAAATTAGATTTTAAGAAATTAGCAATTAAAAACACAAATTAAGTCAACATTTTGGTATTGATTAAACACGGATTATCTCGTGCCATTAATCATTTTGTTGCTTACACTATTATGTCATTAACCAGGACAGAGGTCACTCAAAACATTTGTCTGTTTTGCTTGTTGTGTGGTTGATTTATTTGTTGTGAATAGCCAGCTAACTTTATAGATTGTCACTTTGTTCGGAGAAATCTGTTTTGTGTCTGTTTTTCAAAACTTTAAACTTTTTATTGAATAAATATTTTGTTATAATTGTAGTATAAGAATCAAATCGGTCGGTATTGTTTTACACCCGGAATATGGCTCATCAAAAGTCTTGTATGATGTTTTCGACCTAAATCCCACTAGGTGGGAACGACAACAAAAATATACCACCGTTCGTGCAACAAAAAAAAAACGACAGCAACCAACGACAACCACTTAATTGCAGGCTCCTGATTTTGGACAGACATATACAGAATTTAGAGGGGTTAAACATGTTTGTGATCCTTCAAACCTCCCCTGACCGGGACAATGGTGTAACAACACAGCATAAGAAAAATCTGCTGAAAAACAGTTAGAAATGGCTTGACTTATCAAATCGGCATGAAGCACAAAACAACTAACATGAAGACAAAAAAGTACCGATATAATAGTACTCGCCGTTAGGGTAGGACATTTTATATTCTGAAGAAAGGGATGGGGCTGGCGGCGCGAAAATTTATTTTCACTTTTGTACACATTCATATCCTCAACTATCCTGCATTTCATGTTGAAGAGTGTTCATTCTCATCCTGTCTTGTGCAAAGTCAAATATTTCAATTCATACCAGGCCAAGTAATTCATTTTCAGAATCCCCATTCCCTCCCTGTTTTCGAAATCAAAAGGGTGTTCCCTTACTGAAAACTAATGAAAGGACGTCATCAATAGTCTGAGAAAAGTATGATCATAAACATTTTTTTTCAAATGAATTCTTTCATTTTTTTCATAACTGGCCTTTGTATAGCCGACATCTCCTAATTTTTATATTATACAACAAGTATTACATAAAATTAACACTATCAATGTTCTATGTAAATGAGGTAAGGTCAGATGAACTCTGCCACAAAATCACGTACACCTTGTTACCATTCCATACACCAAATATATTTAATCCACTACTATCTGAGACTGTACGGACTTGACCACTGAAACTTAACCTTATTCACTGATCCGTGAAATTAGGTCGAGGTCAGGTGAATCATGTCTGACGGTCATGTAGACCTTGCAAGGATACCATATATTAGTAACCAAATATAGTTATCCTAGAACTCGTGATAATTGAGACATTCACATGACGAAAAAAGCTATACAGTTTTTTAGCCGTCACTTTACCATGAATATAAGGTCATGGATAATGATTATATGACGGAAACTTCGTAACACAATAGATCTATATACAAAGTATGAATCATTCAGTTCATCTGCCCTCTGAGATATAAAACTATACAAATAGTTTACGGTGTTGCCGCCACCACCATCATATTGTATTCTGTATGCCTCGCATTCTGCTACTTGCGTCGAATGCGATTTAAAAAAGAACAACTTAAATTAGCTCTCTTACCTAAACCTAGTCGATGGGCTTTCAACTGAACAGTAGACAGTGACACGTAATAGCTACTACCAGCTTCGGTAATTTTTTATGTTGTTTCGCTCTTATAAAAAATTCTGATCTTTATTAACTCGCGTGCTCTTACACGGCCACCAATCCAACTAAGTCATACACAAATAATATGAAAACAAGTGCGTTAATCCGACTTCCGAGTATGCAGTAGAAGTAATAAACAATCAAGAATTGCTATACATTCACAAGGTAAGTCACCTATTTATATCATAAGCTTTATATTTTTCAAAAAACCGAGAATGTCATTCGACCCTTTATTTTGTTTTCCTTCATTTGTTATCACAACTTTGTTGTACACTGAGTAGTATTTTTACTACAGCTTTTCTCCCGGTGAATAACGATACAATCTGCACGAAATTCTTACCGACATCTTATGTTATTTGTTAATAAGACACGTTATGCATAAGTACTGGTACATTTATTGATCGGTGTGATATATAAATCAATTATACGTTGCGAGATGTGTATATATGTCTTTATTATCGTTTTAACGATATAAAACTAGGAGGATATGATTTGAAGGTATCATATATGATTAAAACGTACCAAGTATGAGTTGATGGTAACGTAAGAACACACTACGAAAAATTAAGATCATAAAATTGCTCTTAGTATAATGTAGTTACACATCTCAATAATCCAGCTTTCTAATAAAAAAAAACATCTTTATATTTGTAATGCTTGCTGAAAAAGCTCTCCTCTAAATTTATTTGCTTGTCTTTACAGGTTCCAAATGGGAAAAGCATTTCCAGGCAAATAGTTTTGATCGGACAAACGGAATCCCCCTTTAAAAAGTGACAATAATTTGACGTTTTTGCAAAAAATACAGATTAATTTTCTTTTCGCACTATTACAGATACAATATTGATGAATTGGTCGTCAAAGAAAAAGGCGATTTCAATCATCGACCACCCCCCCCCCCCCCCTTTTTTTTTTTAGATCCGTCACTAATTTTCGCTTTGCATTTTGCCTCATTCCGTTTTAATCTAGAATTCTATTTTAACACATTCGTATTCAACCTTTTTTATAATTATAGAGAGCTGAAACTGTGTGTTTGTTGTCCAATGTTGGTTATTTGATTATTTTTATCGTTTGTTTGCTGTCTCATTTTGTTAACGTTTCATCAAAGACATCCATTTCTTTATATAAGGTTCTGGTTGAGAGGTTATTTACTATTCCGAGCGAGTATTCTTATTTTTATAAACATTAGTAGATTGTTAGAAGCTGTATTTATATATGGTATGCAGGTTGCTAACTTGTTTAAAACGATAAATAGCAAATAGATGCGTACAATAATTATTTGCATTTCCAGGCAAATAGTTTTGATCTGCGTGTTTCATTAGATGGATTGTTTTGCTAGCTCAGTTTTCGACTATTAGTTTTCTTTATTGTTGAAGGCTTCCAGTAGACACTCCGGTCTTCGGTAAGAAAACTGGCAATCCCAGTCAACTAAGATAGGAGTCGAGCGCATCCGCCTTAACAGGGTTGAATTTAAACCTTCATGCTCACTGGCTAATTATTACTGTTAGATATATATCCCCTAAAGGAAGGACGGTACCTAAAGATGAATTTATTCATAATTAACATTGACATTGTGTAAAAGAACATCATCATGTTGGTTACTAAAATATATCTCACTTAATCATACTCGTTACTTTTAAGTCATATATGGTCCTTCTTAACCATACATTCTTAATTTTGTTGCGATAATTTGATAATTAGTACAATTATAAAGTATTTTGCTTTTTAGAATTAATCTATATATCACACCGATCAATAAATGTACCAGTACTCATGCATAACGTGTCTTATTAACAAATAACATAAGATGTCGGTAAGAATTTCGTGCAGATTGTATCGTTATTCACCGGGAGAAAAGCTGTAGTAAAAATACTACTCAGTGTACAACAAAGTTGTGATAACAAATGAAGGAAAACAAAATAAAGGGTCGAATGACATTCTCGGTTTTTTGAAAAATATAAAGCTTATGATATAAATAGGTGACTTACCTTGTGAATGTATAGCAATTCTTGATTGTTTATTACTTCTACTGCATACTCGGAAGTCGGATTAACGCACTTGTTTTCATATTATTTGTGTATGACTTAGTTGGATTGGTGGCCGTGTCTTACATATAAGCTCAAATGAGGATAACGAAACAGAGATCTATATTTTAATTAGATTGATGTTGTTTACAAGTGTTTGTAAAATACATTGATGCTGTACAAAACTTTCTTTTTGTAGATAATCTCTGAGGATAATCTTTAACTTCATGTCAAATGTAGGCCAATTTATGTTCGATAAGTCATGTACAGTACACTTGATATAAGTGTGTAAGATGGAGTGATTAGCCTACTGTTTCTAATTCTCATTTTGTTTTCAATTTTTTTTATTTCTGTAAAGCAAATATATACTCAGACCTGCTAATTAAATCAATTCTGCGTTAATATTCATCAGTTTTGGAACTAAGTACTATTTGATGTGCTTCCACGTTCACCAAAAGAAAATTGGATATTTACCCAGAAAATCATGACGAACACCTTTTATCAAAAGACGGAAAAAATAACATTTTGGGAGGGCAACTTATAAATGTTAATATATATCTAAAAAACATCTCTAAAGATCACTTGTATCGAATCTTATGACGTTGCGCTTGATGTTGGTACCAATTCCATTTTGCTATAGATTAGCATGAAAATAAATACGTAGACTGGTCAGTTCGATAAAAATATAGTGATTTCTGGTTGAATTTATTACATTAGACTTGAAAATATAAAAAAAAAGGAACCGAAATTTAAAATATCAAGAATTATAACACTTAATTATCCCATTTTTTACGCAAAAACGTAATGTCCAACGATACATTTTGTGTGCAAAAGATCGGAGTTCCGTTTCTTTCCTACGGTATTTTTTTTCTGATCATCGTAAAACTTCACAAGAGTATTGCTATTGTTATTGTTATTCGCGTGTTAAAGCAAAATCAATATCACTGAAACCGTAAACCGGAAAATGTTATTTTTGAAACTAGTCTGAAAAACGTCCAAGCATATGCAAGGTAAGCATATATCGGGTTTGCGCATTTATACCGTAAAATTGGAAAAGCTGAGAGGAAAAATATTTATGATATTTTGAAAGTTTTTTTTACTTTTTTCCTGGTTCATGATATTTTTTCGAAAAATGTTAAACACTATATTGTTTAAAAAGAAAAAGAAAAAAAACTTTTACCACCTAGTTTTATTTTCTATGATCTAACTATGCTTATTTAATATACAGCCTGGATATGGCACATCAAAAGTCTTGTATGATGTTTTGAACCAATTTTAAACAAACACTTAACCTTCTGTTCCAATCTTTGTTATAATGAAATGGAAATTATATCACTAAATGGTAAAAGAGTAGATTTCAGGAAACAGTTTCATGGTAAGGACTTTGTTTTTACACTCAAGCATATTGAAGATTTTATATTCTGTTTATTCGTTGTGGGAATCAGTATATTTTTCACAAAGTTATTTTTTTTTATAACACTGTTTAACAGGATTTTGCCACCTTAATCGGTAAAGAGCTACCTTTCTTATGTTCTCGCTTCACCAGTTTTCATTCAGATAATGAAATCATTGTAATAATAGTTATTTGTATTAACATGTATTTTTCAGTATCAACATTACTATACCGGAAAAAAAAATAGTAGCTGTAGTTGGTCATGTAGGGTGTGGAAAATCAAGCTTGCTGTCTTCAATATTAGGAGATATGACTAAGGTCAAGGGCAGTGTTAGAGTAAAGGTGAAATATATCATTTACTTACGATCTCCCGTTCCTCATTGACCTTGTATGAAATAAATACAATTATAATTGATATCTGTAGACCTGTTGTAAAAGTTTTGCAATGTAGAGTAATGAAGTTATTATGTGCATTGCTATCTGAGATATCACTGTAAATAAACGCGCATATAGAAGCAATGCAACATGTGTACTTATTAAGAGATAACAGAAAAAGGCAAAGAATAATAACAATATGAAAAGAAAATACACATTTGCCATAATCTTTGGTAATGATATTAAGTTGAAAAATTCCAATTCATGGTATAAAAAACAATGAGTATTAAAATAGTGTAATAGTGCGTTTAGACGGAATTCCATTGTTTGACTTAACACCAAAATAGATTAATTACAAAAGAATATGTCATCTTAAAGTGAACAATATTTCAGTCCCTCTTTAAAAAAAATGTTTATAGGTTTTTCGGAAAAATAATCATGACATTAAATCTTAAAAGCACTTTCCAAGATTAAACCTTCATCATCAGGAATGCTAAAACTTAAATATTTGAAAACCAGGGTGTAGTAATACGTACACCAAGATATAAAGAGAACTAAACATTTGAAAGACAGGTGTAGTAATACGTACACCAAGATTAAAGATAACTAAACATTTGAAAGCCATGGTGTAGTAATACGTACACCCAGATATAAAGAGAATTAAACATTTGAAAGCCAGGGTGTAGTAATACGTACACCAAGATATAAAGAGAATTAAACATTTGAAAGCCAGCGTGTAGTAATACGTACACCAAGATATAAAGAGAATAGGAAAATCCATATATGGTCAACTTTGCCCGAAAGAGTAATTTTTATATTCAATATAATTCAAAATGAAAACAACTACTGAAGACCTAGGGACATTTCTAATTTCCTTTTAATTTAAATGTTCCGAAGACTTCTAAAATTCCAGAATTTAAATAAAATTTAACTTTGCAATACGACAGGGTAAAATCAGTTATGTGCCCCAGCAAGCATGGATACAGAATGCAAGTGTGGCAGACAATATTTTATTTGGTTGTGAAATGGATCAGAAAAAATATAATGACGTGATTGATGCGTGTGCCCTGCGAGCAGATTTAGATATATTGCCAGCATCTGATCGTACAGAAATAGGAGAAAAGGTAATTTCTGGTCTATACAAATATTCAGTTTTCCTACTAATTAAAATATATTGTTAATAAAATTCACAACAGATGTACGAGGGTCTGGATGGGAGGTCCTTCATTTCTCTACTCTTTATATTTTTTGGCCATTATTCTCTATTCTTTATATTTTAGCACCCCATTATTCTCTATTCTTTATTTATTTGCCCTATTTTTCTCTATTCCTTATCTATTTTTGCCCTTTTTTCTGCACTTTTACCTATTATTCTGTATTCTGTAAACCCCCTCCACACCCTCATGTAAACTATTCAATATGACTTTATAAAAAAATGACATGATAAACTATATTTTCTACACTAAATAAAGTATTTAAAGTACTTAAACTTGATACAAAAAAATTGACAAATAATAGTGTTTTAAAAAATAGTCTGATAAGATACTATAGTCAGCAATCTGACTTACAACTACAAAAAATCAAATCTGGAGCTGTGGACAGTAAACTGGTGCTTTTCAGTAATATTTTTGTTCCAAATTTTGTTACCTTCTATCTTCAAACCAATCTTACCAAAAATATAAAAAGTAAAATTACACAACTACGTATCAGTGCTTATTGTTTAAATATAAAACGGGGTAGATATAATAAACCCAAAATTCCAAGAGAACAACGTTTTTGCAAATTTTGCACTGAAGTAGAGACTGAAGAACATTTTTTTATATCTTGTGATAAATATAAAGATATAAGGCAAACTTTTTCCAATCCTATGGTTTAGATTTAAAAGATTTGTGTAATGATTATTTTTCAGTTTCTAAACTTTTAAATCCACATAATATTACTGAATGTAACTATTTATACAAATTTATTAGAGATGCGTTAGAAATAAGAAACAATTCTTAAAAATATGGTTACAATTATATTATATATATATATATATATATATATATATATATTACATGTGAAACTTTGAAATGTTGTTTTGTATATAATCATATGATTTGTAATTGAGAACACTAATGTACTATTAGTTATCTTAATAAAGAATCTGAATCTATATTGGATTCTTGTCATATACATTCTTTTAATTACTTCTTTTCTTTAGTATTTTACACTGATGATTAAATTCGGTAAAAATTCGGTAACAGCTGCATTGATAATGTTCCATTATTATAATATATTATACGTAAACAAAATAATAATGAATTTTGTTTAACAATTTAATTGATTATGAGGGCGATCTTGCTAACCTTATTAGTTGTCTGTCAACAGCTGTCTGTGTAGTTCGATCTGGTATTTTTATATTTAGTAAAAAGCTATATATGATAAGATACTATAGTCAGCAATCTGACTTACAACTACAAAAAATCAATCTGGAGCTGTGGATAGTAAACTGGTGCTTTTCAGTAATATTTTTGTTCCAAATTTTGTTACCTTCTATCTTCAAACCAATCTTACCAAAAATATAAAAAGTAAAATTACACAACTACGTATCAGTGCTCATTGTTTAAATATAATACGGGGTAGATATAATAAACCCAAAATTCCAAGAGAACAACGTTTTTGCAAATTTTGCACTGAAGTAGAGACTGAAGAACATTTTTTTTATATCTTGTGATAAATATAAAGATATAAGGCAAACGTTTTCCAATCCTATGGTTTAGATTTAAAAGATTTGTGTAATGATTATTTTTCAGTTTCTAAACTTTTAAATCCACAAAATATTACTGAATGTAATTATTTATACAAATTTATTAGAGATGCGTTAGAAATAAGAAACAATTCTTAAAAATATGGTTACAATTATATTATATTATATATATATATATATTACATGTGAAACTTTGAAATGTTGTTTTGTATATAATCATATGATTTGTAATTGAGAACACTAATGTACTATTAGTTATCTTAATAAAGAATCTGAATCTATATTGGATTCTTGTCATATGCATTCATTTAAATTACTTCTTTTCTTTAGTATTTTACACTGATGATTAAATTCGGTAAAAATTCGGTAACAGCTGCATTGATAATGTTCCATTATTATAATATATTATACGTAAACAAAATAATAATGAATTTTGTTTAACAATTTAATTGATTATGAGGGCGATCTTGCTAACCTTATTAGTTGTCTGTCAACAGCTGTCTGTGTAATTCGATCTGGTATTTTTATATTTAGTAAAAAGCTAAACAGACTTTTATTGTTGTATGATTCACATAAAGACATTTTTTTTTAAGTTATTTTGTTTGTATCAGATTCAATTATTTACTTTATTATATCCTTGAATCTTTATATTTGTTTTCAATTGTAATTTTGTTTCAATAAGTGGTTCATGAAAAGTTTAATCTTGAATCTGTATTTCTCTTCTACACAAGGGTATTAATCTAAGTGGTGGCCAGAAACAGAGAATAAGTTTAGCTCGAGCTGTATACCATGACACAGATATATATCTCCTTGACGACCCTCTTAGTTCCGTAGATTCAAATGTTGGTAAACATATCTTTGAGAAAGTTATTGGAAATACCGGACTTTTATCGGATAAGGTAATTTGATGAGAGTTAATTGATAAATAGCATAGTTTACCAAACATACAAGTCTCTTTAACAATTAAGTTAACGAATTTGTAGATTGATTGTTTTTTTTTGGTGTTTAAAGCCTTTTGCAGCACTATTAGCTATTTCGTTGCGGCCAGTTTTGAGGAATCTGGTGTATCCGGAGTTGTATATAACAGAAACTGTGTATAATTAATCTTATGAAAAAGTATGTTAATTTCAAGTATTTTTTTGATAATGGATTTCAAACACTGTTTTAAAATGCTATAAGCTGTCATATCTTATGAGATTTATGGGTTTTACACCTTATTCGTAAAAAGAATTTTGTGGAAAGAATAAAAATAACGATATACAATCCATACTTCGTCCAACAACATAACAGACATAGACAAACATTAGAAATATAAACAGTGATCAGTTTCACAAAAAATCTTTGTTGATCGTAAGTCATGAACTAATGATCAACTTAAGTCGTAAGATATTTTGTGAAACTGATCACATATACTTGATGTTATCGGTAGTCTACAAGCATTTAAACGTGGTTTGTCATTTCGTGGCCTTTTATAGCTTACTGTGGGGTATGGATTTTGCTTATTGTTGAATGCCTTACGGTGACATATAGTTGTTTATTTTTATGTCATTTGGTCTCAGATGGAGAGTTATCTCATTTGCAACAATTAAACATCTTCTTATTTCTATATTAATATATTTTAAAGAGTCAAAGTTAACTACATTTATATCTTTCTACTTAAGTTAACAAAGTCAAAGCAACAAATAATTGAATCATCGGACAAGCTACACAAACAATAAGAGAAACACTAATGTTGGTTTACAAAGGGAGTCAGAATATACTATTTGCAGAAGAGTTATCTCAAATAACTTTCAGATTAAGAACAGCAATACGATTCTTTTTCCTTTACTTTGCTTGGGGTTTTAGTTACGAACAAATAAACCATATTCCTTCTAGTCCATTATAGTTAGATTGCATATACTTATAAATATTTTATTTTTACAGACGAGAGTTTTAGTAACTCACGGTTTGAGGTGGTTGCCGTTTGTGGACAAGATAATTGTAATGGTAGATGGTACTATATCAGAAATTGGAACTTACGAAGAGCTCCTGTCACACGACGGGGCTTTTGCACAGTTTTTGAAAATTTATATAATAGAGACAGCGGAAGATGAAGACGACCCGGAAGGTTTGTTCTTAGTAATTGATATAAAAATAAGATGTGGTATAATTGCCAATGAGACAACTCTCCACCAGAGACCAAATGCCATAGAAGTTAACAGGTATAGGTCACAATGAGCAAAACCCATACCGCCTAGTGAGCTATAACAGTCCCCGAAATGACAAATGTTAAACAATTCAAACAAGAATACTTCAAGTAAAGATAAATAAACACAAAATAGTTTTGTTTATTACACACTTAGAAAAAATGGTTTGCAATGATTCAAAGTAAAAATGTCGAAAAAAGACGAACCGTAAAATTAAGACAAAACTTAAAGATCTCTGTAGATTTGATTGAAACAATGCCAGTCCTCACAAGATATAACCATAACAATTCATATTAGAGGGATAATATATCACACACTTAGGAGAGACCTTGTGTATTCAGGAACATTAAACAATCCTCAAAGATATAAAAGTAACCATAACAATTCATATTAGAGGGGTAACGTATCACACACTTAGGGGAGACCTTGTGTATTCAGGAACATTACCACAATCTTCAAAGGATCTGTTTGTGAAGGAGAACTTATTAACTCTTAATTTCTGTTCTCCATTTCAAATGTACATACAATGTATGTGTCAAACGATAAAATTTCAACCGGAATAAGATCCATTAAAAGGAATGACACAACAAACTAACAATACAAGGTGAAGGAAAAAATTATCTGCCAGTTTTATAGTATTATAAGTTCTGTTTCAGAGGAGAAAATAAAAACTGACATATCACAAAGATTTATTTCTGTCGGATCTGGTGATAACTATGATAGGTATGTGTAACAATGTAGAGCTCTTTTTAGCTCACCTGGCCTTAAGGACCGAGTGAGCTTTTCTCATCACTTGGCGTCCGTTGTCCTTCGTCGTCGTCTGTTAACTTTTACCAAAATCTTCTCTGAAACTACTTGGCCAATCTAATCAAACTTGGACGCAAGCATCATTTGGGTATCTGGCTTACAAAATGTGCCCGATGACCCCGTCTGTCAACCAACATGGCCGACATGGCTAAACATATGATATAGGGGTAAAATGCAGGTCTTATCTATTATATTGAAAACTGCTATCGATGGAAAATGTCCGACAGGAGTGTTTAAATGAAAACCGTCAGATGACTTCTTATAGGAGTTATTGCCCTTAAATGACAAATTATACCGTTTTTGCGTTTTTTCTAATATCTTTCAAACAAGAATAGATGGATGGAAACTTATTTAAGCTAAAAGGATCAGCAAGACAAGGTCTACAAATAACTCTCATGTTTTTAATTTTTAGACGACTCCTTATTGGAGTTCTTGGCCTTTAAGGACGATTTTAACCAATTTTTTGCGTTTTTGTCTAATATTTAAAATACAATAATAGATAGATGGAAACTTAAATTTGCATAAGTGATCAACATGGCTGAAATTTTCAACGACACCTTATTGGAGTTATTGCTCTTTAATGACGATTTTTACCCAGTTTTAGTGTTTTTGCCTATTATCTTGAAAACTATAATAGATAAATAAACACTTTAAACAGCAAAAATTATCAGCAAGACAAGATCTACAAGTAATCTAACAAATTAAAAATCGTTTTACAACTCCTTATTGGAGTTATTGTCCTTTAATGGTGATTTTTACAAATTGTTTTCGTTTTTGCTGAATATCTTAAAAACTCTAATAGAAAGATAAAAACTTAAATTAGCAAAAATGATCAGCAAGACAAGATCTACAAAGCAGCTTTATAGCTAAAATCGTCAGTCGACTCCTTATTGGAGTTATTGCTATTCAAAGCCGATTTTTACTCATTTTTTTTGCGTTTTGTCTAATATTATAGGTAGATAAAATCTAAAATAAGCAAAAATGGTCAACAAGACAAAATCTAAAAATAAATCAACAGGTAGGACATCGTCAGTCAACTGTTTATAGAGTTATTGCCCTTTCATGATGATTTTTACCAAAAAGTGGCAATGGTTGAAGATACTGGTGAGCGACACAGGCTCCTTAGATCCTTTAGTTTTGCCATCGCATTGTCAGTTTTTCTTTGTCATACAAATTTTGAATGTCCGTTTGGTATCACCCCTTTTTTTTCTATTTTAGAACTTAAATATTCTTGGACTCGATTTATTTTAGGTTTGAGTCTTGCTGATGAAGGTAAATTAAGAATAGCGCTTCTGATGCACCTCTATAACATGTTATTTTCTTTTCCGAGCACTTGTTTGATACCGCTGCTGGTGGACTGTTAGTCTCCAAAGGTATCATCAGCTCAGTTGTCCTTGCTTCGGTACTGACATGTTTTATTACATACCTTTTTTTAAATTTTCTGTTTATAAATTTTGAAATTATTAATAAAGTAAGGTTCTAATTTCCTCAGGCAAAGTTAATATTCGATGGATTTGCATATAATTGGTCAGATATCTCCTGACGTATTATAGTACTTATATCTCATTGACATTCACAGTTTTTGATTTATAAAGAAACGATGACACAATGTATGTAGTATTGAATTAAATTAAAATCTGTCCATGCAAGATAAATGATTGTTTATTTTATAGTCATAATAACAGTAATAGAATTCACCTTTCGAAGGGAAATAAAAATGCGTACATAAAAGATATGGTAATAACCTTGCTTAAATTATGAGAACAGCACATATAAAGCAAGATCCTTGTAGGAATTTGTATTTCACTCATGTCTGTTTCAGTTCTCTTAACTCCTCTTTTCTTTTACTTTTAGGCCTTATATCATAATCGCATAGAATGATTATTTTGTTTGTAATGTATATGTATAATCAGTTTTACAACCAAAATGCTACTTCAAAATAAAACTAACAGCTATTGGTACAAAAAGATGTTTTTTGGCAAGTGTATCCACACAAATATAATCAACCCTAAATAATATCCATAGAATATATGACATACTCAATAAATCCCATTCCCTTATTTTCTGTTTACGTATAATGCTTTGTTATAGATTATTAGAAACTCAAACAGATGATGTTAAACTTCTAATGAAGATATGCGAGTCAAAACGTCTAAGAAATGGAAGCAAACAAAGCCAGGAAAGCTTTGTAGAAGTTCCCGTACAGAAAAGTAAACTCACAACGGATGAAACAACCGAGGAAGGACATGTAAGTAATACGGCTATTTCCATATTGTTTTGGTTATTAATGGAAGAAAAATGCTTATTATCAATTTTAAATTTTACATTGAAAGGGGATTCGTTGAAAAAAAACCTTCATCACACGTATCATACCCTTTGCTTGTAAGAAAGCGGGCTAACTAGAACATGTGAGGTCTGGTGTACTGCCTAACATTTTTGGTTATTCCAGGTTTTTCTCATAATTATTATAGCGCATTTGTTTCTTAACAATTCAATAAAACATAAGCCATAATTTTCCTTTAAGGCAGTTGGATGTTTTCTACTTTTTATTTATTCATTTATAATCCGTACCATGTTTTATAAATAAATGTAGAACGCATTCTACAGCATTTTATTTTACCCGAAGCATTTTACTACTTTACTGTAGCAGATTATACAAAACCTTTTATAATCAGTCTTATAGGCATTTCAGTTCTTTGCTTTGTACAAGCATATTTAACGTTTGAAAAATGTGTTCTTGTTCCTCTTTTTTTAGGTACGTTTAAGCATTTTTATAACCTATGCTCAGGCCATCGGACTAGTTCTCGTGGGGATTATTCTATTTGTGTATGCACTATATCAAATATCATCAGTATTAGCAAATATTTGGTTGAGTCAGTGGACCTCCGATTCGGTGCTTACAAACAGAACAGTTGGAAAACCTAATTGCAATACATATATGGCGAAGAACGATTATTACCTCCTTGTCTATGGAGGATTTGGAATTGCTCAAGGTATGTTTGTATGTGTTTTTTTAAATAAATTTATGGTTTCCTCTTCGTGACTTGATAGGCGTTCACATATATTTATGTACTGGCACATAATCGAACAAGTGAAATAATCAAGCATACTATTGTATAACAGTATGAAAGATATTGAATTGGTATTACATTTTCAATAATATAATAAAAGCAATAATATGGCAACACATATATACATATACATGAATATGCATCTGTTAAATTTAATCACTGATCCTAATCCATGGGTTCAGTACAAGTCGTATTCTTCCTCACTAAAATTATCGAAGAAGTATGTTTTTATAAAATCAATTTTCCTATTATGTATTTTTTAAGTCCTTCTATATGAGGTTTTTCGTCTTGCATCTTTGACGTGTAGATGAATTACTTTGTTAGTGAAATGACTTTCTCTTTTTTTTTCTATAGAATTTAATTGATATATGTTTTTATCTTAATCTATTGTTTTCATAAAACGTAAGAGGTATTCACGTTTCAATGAGATTTTCGAGTTCTATCTTAACAAATGTTGAGTTCTGGTTTTGTCCATAATTTTTCATTAGAATATTGGTTCATGTGGCAAACATGAAGGAAATTCAAAGACATTTATCGAAAGAAAAAAAATTTGACGAACACGAGGGTAAAAATATTTGGAATGGTGTCAACTCCAAACAGAGTGAATTGAAAGGCAATCGAATTGAAATTAGATATATACGAAGCTAATTGGTACAAACAAAAAAGATTCCATGTTGGAAATAAAAGTCATATGACAAGAGAGATAGTTATGTTTTTTTTGTGGTTATATCTGCTCTTCAACATTTGTATTAGGGTTAGATTTGATTCTACATTGTTCTAGCAGCACTGTAGATACATTTATTGTAGTAATACGCATTAGTTGCAGTAAATTTGGTACCGTTTAATGTTATTATTACTATTGGTAATGTATTTTTAGCTGTATTTGTGCTCATCTTCATTGGTATATTTATGGTTCGATCAATCACAGCTACAAAGTTACTACACGAAAGGCTTCTTCACTGTGTTATAAGGTCACCAATGTCATTTTTTGACACCACTCCTATTGGTAGAATCGTCAATAGATTTTCTGCTGATACTGATACAATAGATAACGATTTGCCAACCACTGTTCAGAAGTGGTTGGAGTGTGTATTCCGAGTGATTTCAACACTTGTCGTCATTTCATACAGCACACCGTTATTTTGCGCCGTGATTGTCCCGTTTGGAATTGCATACTTCTTTTTGCAGGTACGTTTTATTCAGACATGAAATCTATTTTTGTACTTTTGGAACGAAAAATATCTGATTTAATTAACATTATTATCTAACTTTAGTTGTTCGTTTTATTCATTTATCAACGAATTTGTGGATTTGAAACAAACAAACATATGACATGTTGTAATAAAAGTTATTCTTCCACAGAGTCAATATTGAAAATAATCAGGGACTATGATAATGAAATGTCACCATTGCAGATTTCTTCCTTTAAATTAAAATAAGGAGATTTGGTATGATTGTCAGTGACACAACTATACACTAGATACCAAAGGACCCGGATATTTAACAACCATAGGACACAGTACGGCCACCGACAATGAACAAAATCAATTCTGTGTAGTATGAGCTATAAAAGGCCTGGCATGACGAAATGTGAAACAATCCAAAAGAGATAAAGAAAACAACATCCTGATTTAATAGAAACGAACTTTATTTGTAACTTTCGTGTAAAATGAAAATATTGATTCAGCTATTATTATTCAGTAACTAACAGATACACAACAAACCGACTATATTATACGCCAATATTGTTGCTAGAAAGAAGTTATTATAATTTTGGATGTAAAGGAAAAAAGGTTTATTTTACATTGTGCATACTAGATTCGTTACCAATGGTCACTGGGTTGATAATTGAATCGTCAAAAATGTCAGCGAATTAAATTTTGAATACGAATAGTTTACCAAGTCAGGAAAATGGCCATTGTTATATTATAGTTCGTTTCTGTGTGTGTTACATTTTAATGTTGTGTTTCTGTTGTGTCGTAGTTCTCCTAATATATTTGATGTGTTTCCCTCAGTTTTAGTTTGTAACCCGGATTTGTTTTTTTCTCAATCGATTTATGAATTTCGAACAGCGGTATACTACTGTTGCCTTTATTTATATGATATCATCTCGAAGATTGTATACATTTGCTCTATGGATTATTTATGAGAATTTAGGCTGTGTTAAAAAAAACGTTCGTATAATCTAATTATATTACATGTTCTTAAATAACTAATAAAATTGTGCATTGGAAATCATTTATTTCAGAGGTTTTATGTGGCCACTTCACGTCAGTTAAAAAGACTTCAGTCGAAGACGCGTTCCCCAATTTACAGTCATTTCAGCGAAACTATCTCAGGTGCCAATGTAATACGTGCGTATGGTGCTGAAGATTCATTCATCAAAACATCCAATAACAGAATAAATCTCAATCAAAGATTTCAATATGCAATTATAAGTGCTAATAGGTAAACAATTTGTTTTATTTTGATGGCAAAGTATGAATAGAAGAGATTAAAGGTTTTCATTTGATTGTTTTAATGGCTGAACTTGGAGGGGCATTAATGTATGGTACTGATTTTATGTTTAATAATGTAAACTGAAAAGCAATTCCAGAAAAAAAGCTGGTTGATCAAAAGGTTTACGCATCAATATCCATGTTTATGTTTATTTTTTTACATCTTTTTTACCGTTATTTTAGATTTATTTACTTCTCTTGTTCATTGCACATTCGTTTATGTATCTTTTGTTTGACCACCAGTTGAGATTAAAAGGCGGTTTTAGATTTTTAAAACACCTATCCAACAACATCAGTGTTTGTCATATATATTTTATCTTTATAGTTTTGTTTTTCAAGCCAGATCTTTGATAGTGTATATTTAATTTATTCAAAAAACTTTTCTAGACTAGGGACAATTTAGAGCATTACATAGTGTAACGGTCTATTATTAAAGGTTGTGTTCCATGTATTCATACAGGTGGCTTGGCATCCGACTTTAAAGGTTGTGTTCCATGTAATTTTATTCATACAGGTGGCTTGGCATCCGACTGGAATTCTTTGGAAATATAATCATATGTTCTGCTGCATTGTTGGCTGTGATGTCAAGAGGCAGCATAGAGGGTGCAATAGTTGGCTTGTCAATTTCCTACGCTTTACAGGTATAAACATATAAAATGCGTTTTGTTAAAATATACTTTTTCACTTTTTTGGTCTTTTGGAAAATGTTGTTTGTGCTGTATTTAGACCTCTCTACCAAGAAATTTGTTTTACATGCACACGTATAAAAATTGCGGTTTTTATCCAACGCAATCATAGGTTTGAGCGTTGTTTTCAATTTAGACTTGCATATATACAGAGATATAGATTTATATGTGATAACATTTTCTTCTGCTAACTATTTCTGTATGTCTTTATTATTTGTTATTTTACGAGCGTAAATGTACTTAATCATAATTGTGGGAACATAGAAGCTTTGATTTTGTTAAGATATAAATATTTGATTATTTTTATATTGTTAAATGTAGAAACAGACAATGTATTATTCTCTGATTTCGCTATTGTAAATGAGATACTTGAATGTTGCTTATATGTTATTCTAAGGAGGGAATGTTTTACTTGTATGTAGATGACTGATAACTTGAACTGGTTCGTTAGAATGACAAGTGATCTTGAAACAAATATTGTATCTGTTGAAAGAGTAAAGGAATACACTGATATTTCTGCAGAGGTATCGTAGAAATAATTTTAGCTACACATTATCTTTTGTATTTACAAAACAATGGAATGTTATGGATTTTTCCCCTCTTCTCGGAAAGAAACGGAACCTCGAAATACATATCAATAATAATTTCATAAAGTTGAAGGAGAGAGAACATAGATGGGTGTTGATGAGACAATCAAATAAATCAAAACTTTTGCAACATTGTTTTCAAACAACACATATCGAATGCGATGTAGTGGCAGATTTGTGAGTTGCTTTGCTTCCAATGCCCTCCAGATTTGACAAATTTCACCCACACGAGGAAAATGTTTTTTTTTTTAAATCTAATAATCAAGTTTATGTTTTATCTAATGTTTTGATGGTAAATCGAAATAGATATAGTCAAATAGCGTTTATATAAATTATAGAAAATACTTATAGTTTGTATCAACTATAACAAAAACAAAACTATCGTGAATTTGTTCTTTGTATAATTTTTATCTATCAGAACATTCAACAAAATAATTAAAAGGAAAATGAGTACTGTAAACAATCCCCATGTACTTTAAATTTTTAAAAGAAATAATTACTGTATGTTTTTTATTCAAAAACGGTTCATGTAATTGTACTGTCATTGTACATTAGAATAAAATAATTAAAAAAAAAAACCAATAAAACAAAAACAAACTTTATGTAAAGACAATATGTGCAGTTTGATCTTATTTCAGACTCCATTTGACCTATTTGACCTTCACAAATCTTAACACATTTTTTTCTCAACAGGCCGAACTTAATAATGATTATAAGCTTCCTGTAAATACAAACCAACAAGGCGTTATCGAGTTTCAACAATACTCCACAAGGTACAGAGATGGACTAAGTCTGGTTTTGAAAAATATCACATTTAAAATAGAACCAGGAGAAAAGGTATCATTGATAATTGAAACTCAATAAATGCTAGTTTCGAAAATAAATATTTGAACTTGAGTATTAACTTTAATAGATGATTCTTCGTGAATGGTCTAATGATGATGGTGAATGGCTGCTTAACCTCCAGCGGCAAATTGATATGCATTTTCAGGACGAGAACTGAATATTAACCCTGCTTTGTACTAGACCGACACGCTGAGTTGGATTTTTAACGGGCTAGTTCACAAGGTAACAGTCCGCAGGAAGATATTTCACCTTACCCGGACAAATTATTCTGACTCCGAGCCGATCAGTGTTTGCTCTTTCTCCTAAATGCCGCTTGCATAGCGAAGAAGCAGCAAATACCAATTAAAGTCTTTGGTTTGACCCGGCCAGGGTTCGAACTCACGACATCCGAATAATCTAATGATTGTTTAATGTAAATTTAGTCGTCATCTTACAGTACAGAGCATACTAGGAAGAACTTGATAAGCGCAAAGCATAATAGTGAGAACTTGATAAGCGTGGATGATTAAGGGCCAACTAAAGTTTACCGATATTCAAATTAGTTAATTCATTTGAAATATATATATATATATTTACCAAGAGGTTACAATATGTCACTATATGGAATAGTACAGGTAAATTTCCAGTTCAGACAAACATTGATGTGCCTTGAGAACCTAAATCGCAAATACTTGTCTCTCTTTAGTTACGACACAGGCAGAAATAGCCATGAAATAGGTCAACGAATTCATGAACTTGTGTTAGCCAATTGCAGTTGCTCTCTTCATAACATTATGGGAGGAGTGTAAGGGGCAAACTCCTATTTATAAAGTCTGTATAATGGAAAAAATACACGCGCATAACGTATATACTTGATATCCAAAAATGTCTTATGCGTTAGGAGAGATATTTTACTTTTGAAAATTAGGAAGTTGACAATAGTATAACTGAAATCATCAGAATTATCAAATATCCTAATTTGAAGCCATCTATCGGTTTTACTTTAAAAAAGAAAGCCATATATGATATCGTTAACGGTACAAATTGATTTTTCTGCATCACTTCAGTGATGCTCGAGGTCAAATTTAATTTTCTTTAGCACATTTGATGTCTTGTTCATAAGGATATATGAAGTACAAGTACATACTTGCTGAAAGTAGGTTAGTAAATGAAAAATTATCATCAATATATCATGAAACAATAAAGTCTTGCATTATGATGTTACAAATGAGATCTTGTAATCGTGATGTTAACAAAGAATTTGTTTCTAAGATTCCCATATTTGAAGAAAAAGTACTGCGTAGTGAGTTTATGAAGTCGATAGTTCAATTTAGCATGATAAACCTCATTATGAAATGTGGAAAAGTTATAAACTGATATTGTGGCAAGAGTTATCTTTCAAGATTTTGGAGTAGACATATAAAATTTTTAAGAAATCAAATCTGATAATCACCACTGATTGTGTAAACTCGCACACTTTTTTTGGAGGTTAAATCTGAAGGGAGACGATTCAGGTTATATTTCATAGACCATGAAGTTGGTAAAAATGATGAAACAATTAGCCATACTGCTTTTACTTTTCTATCTTTTAAGTTAGAAGCCTACATGTTTAACCGATGTATTATTCCCAAACATTATGGGTTGACTGAGGTAGAGACATATGGTCATATCTAGAATTTCTCTCATTAGTTAAACACTTACCTTGCGAAAGTTGACGTCCGATTGGTTGTATTGGGTTTATAAATACGCAGTTACCTCCTGCCATAATGGGAACGTTTTCTTGTAGAAAAAATGCCACGATTTCAGTTCGTTGAAAAATCCTCGAAACAACTCTATGAAGGTCCGTAGGTGGCCTGTTGCAAAGAAAAGGTTATTACCTCATCCAACATACTATCATTTTCAAGTGGCAGCCAAATTCCCTGCCCTTCATCCCGGTCAACCCCAACCTTTCAGGTCCTATATTTTGTTTAAATTGTTAATTTGTTTTCATCCTGAAAATGCTTGAAATGTTTGCCACTGGACGTAAGGCAAGCAACAGTCAATCAAACAATTATATATCCAGTGAACTCGAAATTAAGGATATTAGCAATGAGGAAGGTTTGCTACATATCTTGATATTTTAGTCGATATTGACACAGTTGACTCAAACTAGAATCTAGGACATATGTGATGAGTTCAACTTTTCAATTGTTAATTTCCCAATTCTCAGAAGTAGCAAACCATCTGCACCATCATATAGTTTATATATATCTCAATTTATGCGTTGACTGATACGATATGTGTGTGTATAATAAACCCAGAAGCTCCATGTTTTCGCAGTCTTGAGATCTTTAGATAGCAGAATATTCGTTTGATCTGTAAATTTACCGATTGTGACGTTTTAACTGAGTGTGAATTATTATGACGGGTGATAAATGCATAGCAGTATACACTTATCCTGTCGACGCATCCGGTCTTTTTGGAGTTCGTGCAATTCCCTTAGTTTTTGTTTGGTACCTTGATATGTCTCTTCCTAACCGATTTACTAGATTTATACATAGATAAATTACTGTCACCTTTATTTGTACAAAACGTGAGTTCAGTAAACTGTAAACTTATACATTACAACTTGCTTGTTTTGTAGGTTGGAATAGTTGGAAGAACTGGTGCAGGAAAGACATCTTTGTCACAAGCTATATTTCGGTTAATAGAACCTATAACCGGAAGAATAATTGTTGACGGGGAAGATATATCCATGATGGGCCTTCATGACTGTAGATCGAAAGTCACCGTTCTACCTCAAGTTTGTTAACTTTTATGTATTCCCTATCAACACCAATCCCAAAATACTTAAAAGTGTTTTAATTTCATTTAAATTTGAATGACAAAATTCTGATTTTTTTATTATATTAAAACACTAATTATCATAATGGTCCAAAATCCAAGATTTAATGTAAAATTTAAATATGTAAGCTATAAGGCAAAAAAAAGTTTTACATTTTCCCGGCTATATGTTGGCCTTTTGTGTACCCGAGGCAGGTGACGAAAGTCAACTTAGGAGCGCTGTGATTGAATGTAATGGTATAATATATATCATTTATTTATTTATGAATAACTGCAGTGTATATATTTACAACAAAACAATTTGAAACACATTGAAATATTTTCTAGAGATTTATTCGAAAAGGCTATCAAATTTTCATACATTTTATGTTAAATGACGGTAGGAATGGGTACAACAAACAAGCTCCGTTCGCAGATGGTCATGTCTCTATTTGGCCTCAATTTCTAAAATAGAATAATAAAGACTAATATCACACATAACTGTTTTGTCCAGGTTTTTTTATAAAGTAGTATATTGTTACTATTGTCGCCTAGGAAGTTATCTTTTGCGGCAAAAGAAGAATAACTATACTTTAAAATTTACCGTTGAAGGACACATTCCGGGTTGTCTTGCTATCATAGTACTATTTGATTAATCAGTGTTTTTGATCACGGACAAGAATTACTTATAGAAAAGAAAAAAAAAGAAGAGTAATGTAATATCTGAATGAGAATGTATAAGTTCTATGGATGGAGCTAACTTGGTTTTTCTTTGTTTTACTGTTATCTGATGAAAATTTGAATCACGACCTAAACTGTTTTAAAAGTGAGACAACCCACTTATTGATTTTAAGTGAATTTTGTTTTCCATTTCTTTGGAAAGGCACAGGTTTCTTAGAAAAATATTGTGGCATCATTTTTTAACGGACATATATAACACTGTTTATACCATTACGTTAACGGGAAAAAAGTATCAAAATGGGCAATAAGGCTAAAATATGTAGATTTATTGCTTTAGATTTCGAAAACAATGATATCAAACAAAACTGTTTAGGATTATTTACTTTATTTTTAGCTTGTACTTTGATCATCAGATTCAAATATCTTATACATTTAGGAATTATGAGTTTGTAAGATTAAACTGATACACGTTAAAACAAAGATCTTAATGTGAAACGTTTTAAATACATTTAGGATCCACTTCTGTTTTCTGGAAGTCTCCGCATGAACATAGATCCAATGGGACACCACTCTGATGAGCAAATATGGCGAGCATTAGAACATGCACATATAAAGGATTTTATACAGCATTTACCTTCTAAACTCGATTATGATTGCGGAGAGGGAGGCCAGAATCTCAGGTACTTTTGAACACAGCGTTTCCAATTTTGTTTCTCCTTGAGTGTTTTGAAGACTTAACGGATTATACTGACAGCACTCTTTAAAAATAAAATCCAGTAAAAGGATGAACAGCCATTTAACTACCAGACGACTACAAATTGCTAATTATTTTATTCCTGGTATCTATGATGAGTTAACAACCACTGGGTCGATGCCACTACTAGTAGAAGTTTCCTCTCCGATGTTATCACCAGCCTAGTAGTCAGCACTTCTGTGTTGACATGAATTATCATTGATATGGTCATAATTATAAACTCGAAATTCTAAGGATTTTCTACCCCAGGACTAAATTAACTTAGCTGTATTTGGCAAAACCTTTCGGAATTTTGGGTCTTCAGTGCTATTCAATTTCGTACTTTATTTGGTCTTTTTTGAACTTTTTTTTTGTGTTTTGTAGACGAAAACGCGTCTGGCGTACACAATTTGAATCCTGGTATCTATGATGAGATTATTTAATTTTAAATAACTTCATATTCCATTTCACAAAGTTGTCTACCCTTATTAGTATAAATTGTTAAAAAAAAAAGGTATCCTTGGTTCTTTTTGACAATGCTTTCATTTAACAAGGTTAAGTCAAAGATACTGCATAAAACTTGATTCCTTAAAAATATTTCAAAACATCTCGGATACAAAGACTGAAGAAAAATGTGATTCGTGAATATGAAAAATTACATTCAAATATTTTAAAAGGAAGACACAATAACATGAGAAAAGACGTATATATGCATAACAGTTAACATAGTGCTATCAACTATAAGAGTATGTCTACTACTTTTATAAAAACAACCTGGTACAAAGTTGACCTTCGAGAATGTGGATAGAAAATATTAGAGCAAACCCGTTTTTTTTTCCTCGAATGTGACCTACCGCATTGCACATATCCCCGGGTTTGTACTTAAATGAATAACACGACGAGTGATACATGAGGAGCAGGATGTGCTTACACAGCCGAAGCACCTGAAATTGCCCCGGGTTTTTGTGGAGTTCGTATTGCTCAGTCTTTAATTTTCTATATAAAAATAAGGAGATGTGGTATGAGTGCCAATGAGACAACTATCCACCAAAGTTCAAATGAAGTGGATGTAAGCAATTATAGGCAACCGTACGGCCTTCGACAGTGTGAAAATCCCATACCGTATGTTTTGTTTTGAAGACTGTTGTTTATCTTTTGGTCGTTTTTCCTTTTCGTTGTCATCGCATTGTCAGTTAGTTTTCTACTTATGGGTTTGATAATCCCTTTGGTGTCTTCCGCCACACTTTTTTTCAAAGGATTTTTCAAAACCACCATTTCATTAATCATTTAATGGATTATATGTCCCTTTTTACATCGAAGTTTTATATTCTTAGAGGCATTTAAAATAATTTATTTTCAAATAAAAAGTTAGTTGATTTCTATGATGTTTTAAAATATAGAAAGAAGTCGAACACACCAAATGTTAGATGTTTTGTTAACATTGGTAAGGACAATGATTTATGTAACAAATGCTTTACTGAAGAAGATAATCAACATTATTTTATGTCATGTTCTTTTTTAAACGATTTTTGGAGAAAAATTCATAATTTATTGCAAAAAGTAAATATAGAAAAAGCTATCACATTGAAAGATATTGTTTTTGGCTATAAAGTATCTGATAAATATTATTTTGGCTTTAACTATCTTATTACTATAATTGGGTTTTCAATTTATAAATCCTACTACATGTATGTATCTGATCAGAAAATGAAAAGACTTAATGTTTTTTGTCTATTCATTAGAGAATTTACAAAACTAATGTATTATTCAAAAAAGTTAGAAGAAGTTAAATTTTTAGTTAATGTTAAGAAACATTTATTAGATTGATGTTTTATTTATTAATATAATAGAATTGAAAATTATATTTATTCTTCACAAGAAGCTTGGACTTGTTGAAGACAATGTAACAAGCAACTGATGGAAATAAAGAAATTTTAAAAAGAAAAAAAAAAACATTGGTAATGACACAATATGTTGTTCTCATATTTTATAATTTTAGCATTGGACAACGTCAGCTTATATCTCTCGCTAGAAGTATTCTCCGGAAATCAAAGATACTAATATTAGATGAAGCTACTGCTGCGGTTGATATGGAAAAGGATGCATTGATACAACAAACTATAAGAGAGGAATTTTCAGAATGTACTGTTCTTACTATTGCCCATCGTCTTAATACAGTTATGGACTATAACAGGTTATTATGTTATATGAATACGTATTTTTGCAAATCTTTTTTCAGTTACACTGCAATAATTATACAACCGCTAGGTCGATGCCACTGCTGGTGAAGTTTTAATTCCCCGAGGGTATCACCAGTCCAGTAGTCAGCACTTCTGTGCTGACATGAATTATAATTGATATGGTCATGTTTATAAATTGACTGTTTACAAAACTTTTGAATTTTTGAAATACTAAGGCTTTTCTACCTGAGGAATAGGTGACCTTAGCTGTATTTGGCAAAACTTTTAGGGATTTTGGTTCTCAATGCTCTTCAACTTCGTACTTTATTTGGCCTTTTTAACTTTTTTGGATTCGAGCGTCACTGATGAGTCTTTTGTAGTCTTTTGTAGACGAAACTCGCGTCTGGCGTAAATACAAAAATTTAATTCTGGTATCTATAATGAGTTTATTATCGGCACCTTGCTATACACATAAGCTTATACAACTGTTAAATTTAAACAGTTTTAGTTCAATGCAATTCTTTGATATACAATGAAATGTTAAATACAGAACACAAATCGCCTATTCAGAGCTTAGGCTGTGTTGTCTCTTTATCGTCTTTAGCTTCCTTAACATGAAGTATTTAAGAAAGTTAATGTAATTGAATTTTCATTTGTTTATATTTATAAAATATACATTAGATGGTTCTAAGGATGCACCATAGAAAGACAGAAATCATAATAGCCGAAAAATAGAGTCACCGAGATAATAAATAGCCCACAAAATAATACACAGAGGACATGAGCACAATGAGTACCCTTAAAAACACGGCTTTTAGAATTCGTCGTCACTTCTAATGCTTCATGACAGGATTGTTATCTAACAACGCGAAATTCAAATAAAAAAAATTAACTTTGAAAGAAAAAAGGCGATAGTAGGGCAGAAAATACACAAGCGTATGACAGATACAAGCAGTTACAATATCAAAATAAAATATCCCCTCATACAGTCCCAAAGACAAAAACCCAAAAAAACAAAACAAAAACTCATGTACTCTGTAAGTAAAACCTGTAATACATATCTGTATTTTGTAAGAATAAGAGAGAACATGCTGTACTATTGAATGTTCATATAAAACGTATATATCAAACGAATGTTTTTGATAATTCAAATTTCATGTTTTACAGAATAATGGTCCTCGATAACGGAAAGATAATTCAGTTTGACACTCCAGAAAATCTGTTACGAAATCCTGGTGGATTGTTTTATCAACTAGCAAAGGACTCGGGAATCATCTAATTACAATTTGAGCACCATTGACTTGATCATGTTTACACGAATCGTATTTAAATTGCTGGGCTCTATAATCAACATCATCCTATAAATTAGGATGCGATATCCCGTTTGTAATAAGAGTTCTACGAAATGTGGAAAAATGTACAGCCAATTTCCAAACCAAATAGTCGTAGCAAAGAAACAATTTGGTAAAAAATTTATTAATATGTGGAAATGAAATGAAGGACTTAATATTTTATCAGATGAACATAGATTATGTTAATCAAAATCTATAACGGCACAAAACATACTTTCAACGTTAGAAAATATACATACTATAAGGACACAAGGAATAACGCTTTCCAAAACAGAAAATAACAATATGGAAAAGATAGTGTCCTTTCTGTCGTAAATTTAGTATAGAGTTTCCCGTGTGAATCTGAAATATCAAAATCAAGAATATATTAATCATTGCTGTTATTATTAGAGTGATTCAGTTAACGTCATTCCCGACGGATAAGTTTTCGCAGTTTAATTATAGAAATCTCGGTTTTTCTAGCTAATAAATGTTATCCACGTAAGTATGGTAACTTGAAATTTAAGAATACAACTCACATTTGATTAGGGAAAAAATAAAATCACAAAAATACTAAACTCCGAGGAAAACGGAAAACGGAAAGTTCCTAATTAATTGGCAAAATCAAAAGCTCAAACACATCAAACGAACGGACAACAACTGTCATATTCCCACACAGCCACGTCAAATGAATACCACCAAAATAAGACTTAACAGTAAAAGTAATATTAATATAGACAAATGAAAGAATAATAACACGTTATTAAGATGATAAACAACGTCAATCCCCAGAATCTATACTTCAAGACCATCGTGTATTATTTGTGAAGTTTATACGGAATATTTATCAACAAGGTCTTGGTACCTTCGGAAGATTTTTTTCTTTAGAAAAACTACGAGACGTTCTTTGACATACCACTGCTTCATTAACTTTCTGCTCAGACACTGGTGACGTTCTTAAAATAGTAGTTGCTGCATGGTCTTGGATACCGAAAAAGTTGGAAAATGTATATCCCATATGCAGGTAAAGTTGGTATATTGTTACTAAAGTGGGGGAAATTGATAAATTCAAAATTAAAATCGTCTTATTTGTCACAGATTCTTGTACTGAGATGACCGTGCATGTCCAATTCGAGGTATAAATCTGGGGATATATTAATGGAACCCAATCAGAAAAGTTTGGATTGTTAAATGAAAGAACATCATCAATTAATATATCTGAATGTGAAATTTAATGACCTGGCTTCTTTGATCTTCTTGTCTGAAGGAATTCCGATTCATATGAAAATAAGAAGAAGTCGGCTAGGGGAGGCGCACAGTTCTTTCCCATAGGAAAGCCGACCATTTAATGAAAAAGTCTACCTCCAAATTCAACAAATATGTTGTCAATAAGAAATTCCAGCATACTGATCACTTTTTCCTCTGTGTAACATGTTTTACCTTTTTGTTCACTATTAACAAAATATACCGTATGGTATCCCAAAGTAATAAATTTATAGCGTATGATACCATTTTATGTTGAAAAGCATTATGGATTATTTCTTTTAGACTATTTTTCAATTTCACATGGGAATTGATGGTATATAGGGTGGAAAAATAAAAAGTTTAGATAAAATTAATTTCAGAAAAAGATCGAGATTTTTGGCAATCATACCACATCTTCTTTTTTATAAGTCTTCCGGCATGTTGTTCAATGTAATGTTCATTGAAGCCATGAAGGACTTATGATTCGCCAAAATCTCACCCTGGTCAAATGATATGTTTTTGTATGTGGGATTACCTGAGTGCTCATTTATGATAGACATTTCACAGCCTCTTCGTCTCTGAAAACGGTCTTTGGTCGATCATTCACACAGTTTTTCAACTGATGAATGCGACGTTTTATCAGACCCCTGTTTGTTTTGACCCATTCTGTCAAAGTGTCCAGTTCAATTTCTTCTCGTTTATTCCTTGCTCTGGCGTATCTACAATGGAATCCATAATTATATTGAAGTTATGGTTCCAGTTGGTGTGTTTGGGTTCTCTAAACTTAGGACCATGATATATCCCCTTTCGGAGATTTTCATGTTGAATTGTTTAGATCCCCTATACCAACATGATCAGAGGGGTTGTAAATATAAGGAGAGTGGGAACAGTCACATGAGGTTTTTTTTAGGTATTGTTCTAAATCAAGGTCCTCGATGCTTTTTAAAGTTAAATACTTTGAGTGCAATGGTATTGGTGTAGCGGTAGGATACAATAGGAACAGAATTATTTTGAAAATATAGTGGAATTTTAGATGTTACATCCTTGTGATGTATAATGTTGCAGAGGTTGATAACATCAATTTTTATATTGGTAAACTGAACAGGAAGGAATTTCCTCTCTTCGATATGTAAAGCTTCCAATCTTACTGGTTTAAAAAGACGGAAAAGAGCTGCATCACAAATTATACTGACAAGTCTGTATATTGGAGGAAATGTATTTATGCATCCTTTGTCAAGTGCATAATCTCTCAAAAATTTTAGAAAATTAACAGGCAATGTAAAAAGAATAGTTCTAATGTAATGTAACCCTAGCGGATGAACAAGATGTAAAAGAAGGTAATCAAAGCTCCCAGAGGGCGATCTTGATTTGGAAGACTCTTTTTACATTAGGCCGATGGTAATGTTTTTTCGTTTTGAATTATCCTCGTAGTTCGTTAATTATTTTTGTCATTTTACTTTTTTTCTGATACAAGAAGGACTGCTTTATACTTTGATCTTTGCCTAAAATATTGCCAGAGATAGACACATGATAGACGACTCACACTAAAATCTATGACATGACAGACGGGACGATTTCAATTTCCCAATTATCAATTTCCAATTTCTCAGCAGTAACATACCTTCTGCTACATCGTAAAATGTTTACAAATCTTAGTTGATTTTTTTTGTGCATGGTCACACTACGGACTTATGAGGATAACAGATTAAAAATGACAGTCCCCTAAATTTGTTGGACACCATCAAGAATTGCTTAATCTATAATATATGTGTCTGTGTATAAACTGTAAATTCGCATTGTTATTAGACTTGTGTCGATATGGATACATCCAACATTCATGTAATTAGTTATGACGTTTCTTTTGTTAGTCTGGTTGGAAATTGTGTTATGTCTTATCGTTTGTGGTTTGAGTTCAATCTTTATTTTCTATATGTATGAACAAGTTAAGGTAATTAATCCGCTAGTTTACTTATATGATGTTTAGTTTAAAGCAACTATATGCACAGGATTTATTTGCTTTTGCACAGTTTTGATTAAGAAGAAAAATCGACATGGTTAGAAAATACAAATAATTACACTATTACACACACGTCACTTTTTGTGGCGTTCATACATTCGTATGACACAAAGATCATAATTCTATTGTTGTGTACCGTTGTTATTCTGTGGTTTACATGTTACAATTTACTATGTTATTATTTATTTATGTACTTCTCTGTCCTGAGTGTTCTTGTGTTTATTTGTACTGTATCCCTGTCACTTAATGTTGTCATTTTAGCGGTATGTTTAACATTGTCATATAAGCGGGAGGTTTGGCTAGCCATTAAACCAGGTTCAACCCACAATTTGTTTCTTAAAATGTCCTGAACCAAGGAATATGGCAGTTGTTATCAAATAGTTCGTTTCTTTATATGTTGGCGTTCGTTTTTTGTAGCAGT